GTTATGATCGGGCAAAAGGGTGAAAGGTAAATAAAATTTAACTTCCTTTACGACCCGCCCCCTATCCTTTGATTTACTCCTAGAAGCCACTGCAATGTTATAGTGCTGCTGGCCAACTTTCTTTGTAAATGTGAATTGCAAATTAACAGCTAATAACATACTTTTTAATTTTGACTACAGTCAGATTATGCAAGAGATGGAAGAGCTAACTGACTTAAGCAAACATTATTTTTATATGATGATGTTCATTAACGTTAAAATAATGCATTTTTTAAGTTATATTTGGAAAGTAAGAAGGTGAGCTATTTTCATTCACGTCGTAGAAAAATACGCCTATCAGTTCAATATAGGTATTTTTTTGGAAAAATCAGTATTCTTTGGGAGCGCCATTCCCACGTGTCCCTGTTCCACTGCATAGCTAAAATAGCAAGAACAGGGCATTAAAATTGAGATGGTTTACTGAAATTTTTTACTTTAAAAACAAACAGTGCAGCTTCTGCCATAAGACTGTTACTAAGCAAGTAGTCTATTATTGTAATAATTTGAATCATCCGTTGGAAATGCATAATTAAATGACTGTAGAATATTTTATTTGGCGTGTTTCAATTTAATCCAATAACCCATGGTCACCATTTGCCCTAACATGCTGTATCCTGATGTGTACAAGTCAACGGTTTTAATCACAGGATAAAATATTCAAAGCATTACAGTTTAGGGCTGCACATAACTCAAGAACCAAACTGTCCAGCTATAAATCTGTCTGTGACAAAACGTAGTTTCAAACACAACAGTCCATTTAGTTTTGTATTGCATATTTTAAACGCAGTGTGTTAGGGAATACGAATTCATGTTGGACGAAATTACTACAGTAAAACTTTGCTACAGCAACGGTATATAAAACACTTAGTTTGTATTGTTTATATTTGACTAGATGTTAAAATGCGCACTTTATTACACTACTTGAACAAAAAATAAAAATTTATTTTAAGTAAACATAATAAAATTGTATTAACCCTTACATAAACTAAAAAAAAACCCCGCCGCAGCAAACCTGCCGACCAAGCGAATTTCCATTTGTCTGAATTGATTTTCAGTTAAATATATTTTAATAACATTAGGTTTAACGAGTACCTAGGTTTGCTGCTACAAGGAAACTAATAAAGTGTGTTTTTGAGTAAAATATTGATAGCTTAGTACAAAATAAATAAATTTGCCAAGTTTGATCAAAATATACCCATAAACAAGCAAACTACAACATTTGACAATATTCTCCATAAGATCAACATGGGAATTTTAAATTTACAATTTTTTTTATTTTCTCCGTTACTAATAATCAAACAAAAATACTTTTACATACTAAATTATTTGTTTTTTTAAGCTCTTTAAAAAGGTCTAAAGAGAAATCGGGAAATTTTGTGTTTTGAGGGTCAAAAGTGAGAAAAACCAATTTTTACCCCATAAAACCCCCCATAAAGCCCCGTTTCCATGGTCCGATCGTGCTGGTTCGCGAACTCATTCAAGTTTATCCCGCTTTACACCTTTAAACCAAATTTCATCAAAATCGGACAAATATTACTCAAGTTATCGCGTTCACGGACGTATATATATATATATATATATATATATATATATATATATATATATATATATATATATATATATAAGTCTATATATATATATATATACATATATAAAAATTTGAACGAATAGTGTTTTTGGCCTCTGGGGACATCAAAATGAAAAAGTAAATCGGTCCCGGGTCTAGGTCTTACCGTGCCACCTACGGTAATAGCTACTTCCCTATAGGGAAATTCGCTAAAAACCAAAGAATTTCCTAATTGGAATGATAAGCATACAATTATCTACTATATCTCACCCCCTTCTTTTCTTACAATTTTTACAATTAGATTTTTTTCACGATATCAAATATTTTTTTACCTGAATTATTATTTTGTATGTTGATACATCATATAGGTAAACACCCTCAAAATCGAGGGTTTATGTAGTAATACTATTATTTTGTGGAATTTATATCGTACAGCGAACCAATATTAAAAATTATCGCTTCCAAATTATATTTTACAATATTGCTAACATATATTTACGTAACAAGAGAAAATAAACGTGGCTGTTAAAATCTAAATAATAAAGTAAAATGTAACAAACAAGAAAGTATATAATGAGGTAGAATTTTTAGAGGTAGAATGTGATGAGGTAAACAAGAAATTATACGACTAGCAACAAAATGGTGGTGTGACAAGGTTGTGGGAGTTATAATGTAAATAAGTGTTCCAAAGGTCGTATTTCAGCTTAATTAATCTGTCAGGTACAAGAGTTATGCGGCTTGTGGATCCACGTCCTCAGCGGGAGATGCAATAGCCTAATAATGTGGATACATTACACGGAAAGGTGAAACTTACATTAATACGCGTACTTAAATAAATTGATCAGTAAAATATTTCCTCTGACTAACAATCAATGGTCTTAACGTAAAAGAGATGCAGGTTTTTTTGTTTATAACAACTGGTTGCGAAATATTCTCAGCTGGTGTCCGGTAAAAACTCATTACAGTCCAGTAGTACGTAATGAAACCCCATTTGATTAAGCAGGTGGTAGACAGCTGTGACCAGAAAATATCCTTGCGTGGAAAGTTCGTTACTAGTTATGATAATTTATTTTTGTAAAAAAAACCGACTTCATACGCTCTAAAAAGAATGAAATAATTTTAGTATAGTCAACTTTTGTAGTATTTAAGCTCACATATTTCAAGTTGGCGCGGCTCTACGATGATTTTTGGCACAACGTACTTCAATGTATAAGAGGATGTCAACAACGCAGGTAATTATCTATAACTATTGGTGTTAATCTTCATGTTTGTTTTCTGTTATGCGTTGAGTGTTAATTTATCATTGTTACCCATCATCGGCAGATACCATCATAAAGTTTTTTTTTTTTTTTTTGTAAGATAATGAATTTTTATCTTATAGAACTATTGACGGTATTGGTAAACACATTTTGGATGAGTAACGTACGATATTTTACGCCTGATTACTCTAGATAACCAAACAATAAAAAATCTGTACAAATCCTAATTCCCACCCACAAGGACTAACAATCAATACTCATTACCTCTAAGAGAGGTTATTATAACCACTTGTTGCCAAACAACACAACAACATGATCAGCAGGTGTCCGGTAAAAAGTCATTCAAGTATAAGAGTACGTAATGAAACCCCTTTTTTCTTAAATTTGCAAAAAAGAACCGTTTTCTGGACTAAATCCTTGCGTGGGAAGTTCGTCAAAACAGTGTAGTGTGGCGTAAAAGCTATTTATGATGCTTCTAACAAAATGCATGTTGAAAATTACCTTAAAAATAACTACGTTCATGATAATACTATGTTTTATGATAACTATGTCAATTATAAGTATCTCGAAAGTTAAATTTATTAGATTATTTTGCATTTATTCTTCATGGATATTTAAACAAGTAAATTAATTTAAGTAATGTTCGTCCAGGATTTAAATAATGGTGCAATGGCATTATCCAAACGAGTTGGAAGATACAGTCCAGATGGATAATAGCTTGAGCCAAGTGCTCGACTATGGCTAGCATCTTGTAGAGTTAAAACATAAACATGCATTTACTGCATTCTCGATTATAAATACTGAATGCATGCCCAGTGAAAATGTATCCCAGTGCTTCCTTCATGTTTCATTCACTTCTACTATATTTTCATTAGTAAGTTAATATTATATGTAATGATTTTTAGATATGTGATTTTTGTCAGAAAATACTGTGGTACCATCGTGTGCGAGTTGAATATTTGGCATATGGTTAATAACTAAACATTTGTTATTTTCAAATTCCGTAAAATATAAATAACTGTAGTTTAAACATGTATGTATACTTTTGCGTAGATGAATTGTTATGTTTACCTGTTGTTTTTAATGTATATAATTAATTGTGTGCATCCGTGGAAATCATATATTTAATGCATGCATTATGTGGCATTTCTTGATTGATTTTTTTACTGTAGGCCTATCATTACTGTTCGTTTTGCACATTTGTCATTAGCAGTATTTAGTTGTTACATTCTAAGCCTTGTCCACCACTCTGTAGACAGTATTACGTTGGGAACTAAATAAATAAACCATGAAACTTACAAACCGACATTTTGTGGTAATCCTTAAATGTAAAATACTATGAAATAAGTTATATGATACAACAAAGTCTAGATCTCATATCTACCTGGATAGTGTCTCGTTTGCCTTGATCTTTGACAAGAAAGGAACAACAATAAACAGGAGAGAATACCTTAAATATAAAACAATGACGTTTTCTCACAATGTGTTTTGTAATACTTTGTTATATGTAATATGCTATATTATGTTACATGAAAATAATGTAGATTAAGGAATCACAACATCGACGTACAAGAGCATTTTCTTCCAGGTTCTTTTAGCTAACAGCTACTCTGTTCGGGAACACTACCCTTAATTGTTTCCAGGTGTTGTTGTAAAACACGGTTATTCAGTTAAGGCGGAGTGTCTGCCGTTGTAGGGAATTATCGCCTCAATCTCCGAGATTTTACGGTTAATTCATTTGTACAGCCTAAGAGCTTGATTGTCCTCATTTTATTCAACTACATAACGTTTTTGTATTTATAAATGAGTTAGTAAGATTTGTATGTGTGTAGAAGGTTGATTTTTACTAGTTACAAAACATGTACCAGCCAAATGTTTAACTTGTTTCTTCATGAAAAATGTTTAAAGACTTAAAACGATATATTTTCTTGTTCAGAAAGAAATATATATTTTTGTTAGGCCTATGAAAAAAAATAGTTTTTAATTTTTTTTTTTGCCAAAATTTTATATTAAGGTGTGACAAACCCCCTGAAATAACATGATCTCTTTAATTTTTTTCAACAACATTTATGATAATCCTGGTATGGATACTGTAAAGGAGGGTAGCCTGGGCAAGCTAGGTTGATGACCTGTGGTCAGGCCTTGCTTGCTGTGAAGCGTGCTGGAGGTGTTTTGTAAACACTGAGGGCTTTGCACTCAGTAGCTGTCAGATCAATAAATAGGCCACCTGAGGTAGGGAAAGGGGTCAGTTGCCCGGGGCAAGGTGCCCAGGAGAGTTGGGTGAGTACTGGTTTCTCTATCTTGGGGTTAGGCCCTGTAGTCGGGAGTTTGTACGGGAAGTTTTGATTTAAGGGGACTGTAAGTTAGTTGGGGTTTTGTGTTTTGTTTTGAAGGAATTCTTTTGGGGATTAATACTTTGATTTGATTAGATTACAAGGGAATAGTTTCACTTCGTTTTTGGGGATTATAAATCTAAGATTCAAGCTACCTCCAGAGCGGTTCTTACCAGGCATTGGTTAGTAGGCTATACTTAAGAGTAACTGTCACTGTATTAAAGCTTGATTACTTTAGACAAATCAAAATCCTATTTGATGAACACAATCTGATTCTCTTATTGAACAGCTACCCAGCTCATAGCATAAAGTAGAATAAGTTTAAAGATTCGGGTTTGCTATAAAGCTACGCTCCCATGTGCGTATGCAGAATAACCTATGAAAAGCGAGGGGGTTTTCTGCATATCACAATACGAATTTGATATGATTTGGCTTAGCATAAAATTGATACATGATACCGTCAGTTTTTTTTTATGGAAAGTTGTTCTCAACAATTTAAGATGGTTATCATCAAAGGGAGGATTAGTAGATGCAGCTCTACCTTGAGGAAGATTTGTAATAAATATAGTAAATAATAATTATTTTAATATTTCCCACAATTTAAACATAATAAGTTACATAAACGACGCCATGTGCTATGAGTACTTTCAGTTGTTATTTAAGACGATTTTAATATCAGCTAGATATCCTCGTTCCTAATATCCCACTTATTTCCAAATAACTGACAATTATTGTAAAACCCCAACTTGATATTGCAAGATATTAACAGAGATTCTCCGTATACTAATGTTCATATAAAGCTGTAACGGTAGGGGATATTAGAGGCATGGTAACGATTTCCTGGCTGGTGTTGGGGATATTACACTGTCATTGTTCGATAGCCAATACGGGGATTTCTCCTAATGTCGCCTACTAGGTCCGAACCAATCTTCCTTCACAAAAACCAATAGCTCAATAATGTAAAACTATATCAATTTCTCCGTTAATAAGTCGTTTGGATATACCATAAAAATGGTTTAATCTTTTTAGCACTTGTAATAATTTATTAGCAGGGTGAGTCGTTGGAAATGGAAATCAATTAGGAAAAGCGTTTTATTCGTAATTATGGTTTAAAATGTAATTTCTTATTTGTATTGACTGAAATGTAAATCATACGTCTTTACACAAAATGTAAAACTCTGAATAGTGTTAATATAGTTGATAGTTTTAAAAATAAAGATTATTTCTCATCTTGTAATTAAGTGTATCCTGCAGTTAGACAGAGTGTTTCTACTCTCCTCAATACTATGGTTAGTTTTATGCCATAGCAATTTCTAAATGGATTATGTTTTAATAAAATTCAGACATCGCACTGCCTTCTTACGTCTTTACCTTTGTAGTCAGTGTTATTTCTCATTTACTTGATTACACATCTAGTTGTAGTGTTTTCAAGATGTATAAATTTGATATATTATGTATCATTTGATGCATGTATATCCTCAATACCCTCAAAGTTAATGTTTATCCCAGTAACATCTGGGACTACACTGTGTAGATACATCACTGTTGTATGGGTCAGAGGGCTGATCAGAATATGAGTAAAGCTACAATATTTTGACGTATTGAATATGAAATTCAACTTTAAAAAAATATCATAACAGTCCAAGCTAATACATCATGATACGCTTTTTCCTCTTAATAGTCTGGGAAATTTAAACCGCATGATAAACTTTTCCGACTATTCTTATTATTAATAGCAGTTATTTCTCCATGCAATTCACAAGTGTAAAAGTACAACAATATGTAATTTGTCAAGGAATCATAATATAAAATAACTATCATCAACAAGAACATTTGCAGTTTTATGTGACAACCAAAGCATTATTAAGGTACTTTATTCGTTGGTTTATTTAGACCACACAACAGTCTATGCACAACACTGTATATGTTGTTAATTGTTATGCGAACCCTTGGCCACTAGAGTCCCTACGGACTGACCTTTGTTGTTCACCCTGTGGAGGGTATATTTCACCAAGATAACTTCTGACTTATGCCTGCTTTGTGAAGAGGAAGTGTAATAATAACAATACATGTTCAGCGATGGCTAATTTGTTATCATGGATATCATGTTTTATTTTAAATTGTATTAAGTTTAAATGAAATAAAAAGGCTTATTAAAATATATTTCTTTGTCTTTGAATCTTTTAATATTAAAGAGTAAGATACGATCATTTTTAATATGGTAGACATCAGCAAGTTGATATCTGGTTAAAGGGCCCTTTCCCTTTAATTTCATATTAATGAGTGCTATCTAAAAAAATATTGTAAGGATACTAGAAGCATCGACTAATGAGGAAAATAGGACATGAGTAGGTGAGGTGCCATTTTTCGAAAAGTTTATCCAGAAGCCAAATCCACCAGTTTTTATCCAAAAGCCTAAGTACTCTGCCGAAAAAGGTTTATTAGATATGCTGGATAGTTTTAGACAGGATGTATGTGTTCTTTTGTATCATGTTCATATGTTAAAATGCATTAATAAACTGTTTGTGCATTAGATAAATATGTATAAACAAGACAAGCTCCATTGTTTGTAAGGTTAGGTACATTATTCCACAAGAAACACAGATTATTTAAACTAACTCAACGCTAAGTCATGTTTTTTAAACTAAGCGTAAACATACTTACAGTTAATATTTTTAAAGGAAACCAAACGGAAACCCTTATCAGAAGAAGCCCATATATAGGTGTCAAAATAAGAATTTTACTGAGAAAACAAAGTTAATTTAACTTGATACTTTCAGTGGCTTTGAATTTAACATAATTTCATGATGAATAATCGTTAATTTTAAATAGCTATAAATACGTTAAATTATTGCGGGGTACAATTAACGATTAATTTATACTGTTAGAAGTTAAGGTACCATCCAATAACATTATATTTGTAAAAGGAACACAGCTTTTATTATGTTTTCTGTAATAAACAGCTTCTTTAATCATATATTTTGTGAATCAATTTCAAAATAGCAAATTAAAGATCAAGCGCTCACAGCTGAACGTTATTGCTCACCCACAGGCGTCTGAAAGCTGATAAGTATGTTTTGAAAATCCTTTGACTAATATTAACACCCTTACATTTAAGATAATATATAAATACTATTGACAAATCTCATTATTTAACTCATGTCTTCTAGGAGCACAGAAATTTTACAAAAATATATTTACATTGAAGGTTGGTCTATGTCTTAAACGGTATAGGTTTTATTCTATTTGTTATATTACAGTTTCTCAAAGAAATTTTTTTTTTATGTTTACATAAAAATGGTTCATAAAATACGGCAGAATGCTGACAATTACTAGGATAAAGTTTGTGTTCAGCTCTTCAACTACGATATACAAACCTTAAGTTAAATCCTTTAATCCTCCAAAGCTACAGAAAGACAAAAATGCAGTAGAGTAAGATATTTGCACCGCAGCCAAATCTAATACAGCTTAGGTCTTGTCAGATCGCCAAACAAATCTTACGGGTGCTAAAAACTAGAATAAGTACTCGAATTAAATTAAATATTTTTGTTTTAAAAGGGATTCAGACAGAATATTCTGACAAAATATATGCCTTTAATTAATGTTTCTGTCTGCTCGTTCATATTCTGTTAGGTTATATATGCTTGGGTTTTTAATGTTATATTACAATACCGGTAATGGTAATATTTATACTACCATCAACATTGTAAAATGTAAATATATCAAAACTAATATTGTATGAAATCGTGTTTATATTTCCTTTTGTACAGGTCATAATGTTAAGGTAATGTAAGTCATTTTATAATCAGCTATTTAATTGTGTTATTGTGTTAATATCTTGACGTTGGTAAGTTGAGTACTAATTTAATAATATGGTCTTTGGTAAGATATAGTTGATAAACAATCCATCAACTATTGTATAATGAGAATAGTTCACCATTAAACCTGAAAACTCAAATCTAGTGTAATGAAAATGGTAAAAAAATATTATCGATGGACAATGTTTTAATTAAATAAAACGTAGTGCTGTGAAAGAAGGTATATAAGATTTAACCAGTTTTCTAATAACATTATATGTATTATAAAAAAAATAATAACAGCTTATTAGCGTGGTTATTCTTTACACAAAAATAAAATATTATTTCATCTTGGTTCAGATTTTTACTCTGACTTCCTAAATAATGTTCAAAATCTGTTATCTTGAGTGAAACTTGTTCATCTTGACTGAGAAACTATCGTCATCCAGCCATAGATAGGCAGGCATGGTTACTGATTCACCTATCATAATCAAGATGAAGGAAGTTTTATTAGTAGCGTAATAAGACAAGCTTTTAAGACTATTGCATTTAAGTATAGTTTAAGTACGAGACACCAACTTGACATAACGAAAGTTAACAACGTTCAAAGCAGCTGTAGAGTAAAACGAAATTGGTGTCGTAACGAACCGATTGAATTACGACTTTAATCTCCTTCGCCATTCTTAGCAGTTTTACATGCATTTTCTAAAGAACAATTTCCTGTTTGTAACTGTTGTAAAGGTAAGACATTTGTTTGGTCAATTTGATCTTAATTAATACACAATACCTTTCTATGAAATACAAGATTAACAAGATGAATAAACTTTAACAATAACATAATTACTGCATTATATAATTCGTCGCCGTGAGAATATGCTACGTTGAACGGGCTATGCTGTGAAAATGATTGACTCATCTTCATAAATAATCTAGGCTTACAATTCTAGAAAATTTAAAACATCCTCCGTAATTTGAATGCAATGATCCGAAACCAATACTCATTGAAAAGAAAAAAATAACAAATTAGGAAAACTAAATACACATTTATTAGCCTACTAAAGTATCTAACAAGAATCACTTAAAATAGTTTGCAAAGTAAACCTGTTACAAATCTTAACAAAATGCACATTCCTTCAATAGCAATGATTCTTACCATATGTTTTGTTCAATGTGATACCTGAATTTACCGAGATATGTTGGCAATCAGATGATATCTCTTGCAGTTT